TCTCTCGGACTTCTGAGACAATTGCTAAGATCTGAGAGAGAGCTATGAGAAAGGTCACTCGTAGCATTCTGAAAGATAGGCAAAGTAAAGCTCTAGACAGAAGACTGAGATGGAGGTAGGCAGCAGTTAAGGATTCCAAAGCAAAAATGCCAACATGGAAGGTTGGAAAATCCTAAGGGAAACTCAGGAATTTGGGAGATGGTGATGCAGCCTCTCTGAAGACCTCTTCCATGGGCAGTGGAAACCAGCCCTGCTCCACCTCATAAACAGCTGCCTGGCTAACAAACATTTTCATTATTTTATTTGGGGCACTGAGCATACAAACACTTAGTTTAGTTGCTCATTATTTCTAGCTGTTTTTGTGCACAGCATATAATAACTGCTGTATATTTCTAGGTTGTGTGTGTTCTGCCTACAAAGTCTCTTCATGTATGGCAAAGGTGTCAAAGCAAAGTGATTGAGAGAGGGACGAATACAAGTTCAAGAATGTTCTTTATTAAATTTCCTCCACRAACAAAATGCAGAGGAGTATTTATACTTCTGCTGTGCTACCAGAAATAATATTGTTGACTTGAAAAAGTGTGAGGAAAAAAAGTTAAATATATTCATTTTTATCCATCTGTGATAATATGTATTTTATCCTATTTCAATATGGAAAATATTTTCCAGCTATACCAAAAGTCATCATTATTACTACTTTTTTCATCATTTTTTTTCTATTAAAAACAACCAGTAAATTGTGAACTCCTGAACACTTTTAAATAACAACTTTATTGTGCTATATTATAATTCTTTGAAAGATATGACTTGTTTTCCTTGATTCAAAAGACATCTATTTTTCCAGATATGCTGAGGATTTAAATTTGTATACTCTAGAAAGGTGAAACTTTCTAACTGTGATGTAATTACTTTAAGAAATATCGCTGTAAGTAAGATGTATGTAAATACAAAGAAAATAGATATATTTTCTATTTTGTAACAGTAATATGAATCAAATTTTAAATTCAGCTGTACTGTAAGAAATGATTATGAAAGATGTTATATTATACATTAATACCTCACTTTAATAACTTGAATGATAAATAAACACCAAGAAGGTTGTTTTCTAAATATAGAAAATCTCTTAGTAAGATACAGACTTATCTGGACTTTCTAATGTTGATTAAGTATAAGCCAAATATTCCAAGCTTTTTGAAGCTSTACAAGCTTTTGTAGAGCTGAAAACTGAGACATTTCTGATAGGAAGTTAGTGGCATTACTTTAGATATGGCACTTCTCCTTGCTAGAATAAATAATTGAMTACAAATGAGATCACAAGGCAATAAAATGGGGTTTTGGAATACCACTAAAATATACTTTGCAGAGCAGACTTTCATTTCTAACACAAATGGAAGCTAGATGAAGCTTCTCTGAGCTCTTGCTTCATCCAAGGCAAATGATTTGCCTAGCAAATCCTGTAGGAGATAAATTGCTTTGAACATCTAACATTGTTCAAAGAATATGCAATTGTCATTTTCTGACTAGCTGATAATTCTCCCCATATAGGACAATTCTGGTTGATAAAATGGTGGTCAAGTGACAAATTCCTGTCACAAAGCAAAGTCCGATAACTTTTCAGCACTGATTAACAGGAGAGAGGCTGATGAAAGGGAAAAGAATTCCCYTGGAACTGGATATTAGATCWTACTCACATTTGTTTTAACCTTAACTAGGGCTAAAGATTCTTTAACTAGGGAATCACCACAGGATTCTTAGAACTCTCTCCATTGTTTCACCTACTTCGAGCTCATTGAAAAAGCCAACTTTCCATCTTTAAAGGAAACACAGAGAAAGTTTAATTCATGTCTTTTATTACAGTATATAAAGGCTTTCAATTTTCTTTTTTAAACTTCTTGTTTGCTAAAAATTAATAGCACTAATTAATAGTGAATAACAATACAAAGTGTGTTACTTAACAGCTGACAGACTAGAAATATGTTAGAATAATGCAAAATACAAGTTAAATACTTTGGTAAAGAACAGGATATACTGATGGGATATGTGCATGGTCTGGGAAAGATATGACTTAACAAAGGATTCAAGGTTCATCATGGTTACAGAAGAATCTCATATTGCAGTGATGTGTTCAAGAGAGATCATGCAAGACATAGATTTATATCAAGTATGAGATGGGAATTAACTGCGCCTCCTTACAGCATTACAATGTTGATAGACTATTTCACAATGTCTAATGGTCATCTTTCAAAAATTTAAAAAGTTCTTACTCAGACAAGTCTAAAAATTCCATGAACATAATTGAGGAGCTGTAAAACTGTCCGGCAAAGGAAATTGGCCACAACTTTACAGAAGAGAGGGCTGAGTAAGCCTTCTAAATATTTGCTAGTATTTTCACTTTGAAAAGGTGTGTGATGGTAAACGTTCTCAAAGTAGTGATATCCAAAGAGAGATCAATCTTGAACTATACAATTTCTATGAAAGGAAGCAGAACATAGAAGCAACTAGCCTCTGTATGGTGAACACAAAAAGAATTGGAATTTTAAAAATGAAACTATTTCTTTTTCTGCCTTCTGTGTTTTAATCCAGACAAGACCATCTTTCCTGAATTTCTGTAACATAGTCACTTCAGTTTTCATGTGGCTAATACATTTACCACACAATTCAGGGGAGATACTGCAGCAAAATTCTTGGAGAAACCAGCTGTGTGAACTTGGTCAGCCATTTTTGGCTTGCTCCCTTGTACAATGAGGGATTTGAATTGCCGAGAGTTGCCAGCAGCTCCCGATTTCTTCTGATCATTCTGATCATATTAAACTCATTTAAGAACTCTTTTAGAATAGTTTGTGAGCCTTCCATAGCTCAAAGACTGGTCACCATGCTTTAAAACCATCTTCTCCAAGATTTTTTGTGACCTGTAAATAGAAGAAGAAAAATGTTTTCTTTCTTCATGGAGTTTTGAGTGAACAGGATGCTCCACTCTGTTCTCAAGGTGTTCAAAATATCTCTACTTTGCATTAAGACGATGTCTATATGAGGTTTCTTGCTTTGGGACTTCAACCTACAGGACTAAAATGAAATATTCCATCACGTCATCAGAGATTGGTCAAAGCTGGTTGTGGGATGTTGAGTTAACTGAATGAAAGGGCACAGAAAATATTTCACAAACATTTGGCTTAGGTATCCCACTCATATATTAGAACAAAAGCAATTGCCAGATTTTGGATGAAGAAATGTTTTCCCACAGATTATATTGATAGGCAGCTACTTTGTTTCTTGACTTCCTTTTTATGTCTTAAATTGTGAATTGGCTACTGTGAACCCTTAGACATTTTAACTGCTCATGTGTAGTTGATGTAATTTTTCTTTTGTTGGTCTGTGGTACAAACTTAATCTCTTTGAGTTGAAATCATATAGTCTAACTCAAATTACCAAAATGACTCCCATTGTCATTTACCATTGTCATTTTATGCAGGCAGTAGAAACCTCTGTGCAAATTCTGTTCTGATTTATTTGTATACCACACTCCAATCATGYTTGACTCTTCGTGATAAGATATTGAAACATTGTGAGAGACTTTGTTTTGTCTATTTTCACTTTAAGATTCAATAGTTGTGACCTGTTTCACTTAACTTAGTTGCCATTTCTCTAGAGTCTATTGCTTTAGCTTTACTCGGTTGCCACTGAAATAAACTGAAAAACAGTTAACTGAAGATAGACCAATTCATTAAGACCCAGTCCAACAGTACTGTTAGGCACACATGATAAAGCAGAGAAATATTTCCATTGGATAGGAGTCTATACAGTTATTTAAAGATGAGTTTTCATAAAAGTATAATAGTTATCCTAACTAATCTTATATTTTACTTGACTAGTAGATAAAAATTATCCCTTTCTAATGTAAAACTCAATAAGATAGCRCTCTTTGTATTCTAAAACATTGTAAATGTTTACAATAAACATTATAAAACTCTCTCTGCTCAGCACTGGTGAGCTCACACCAGAGACGGTGTCCACTTCTAGGCTGTGCATTTCAAGAGAGACATGGGGCCACTGGGGCAAGTCCAGCAAAGGGCCACTAAGATAATTAGGGACTAGAGCATCTCTCATATGCGGAGGGGCTGAGAGAGCTGCGACTCTTCGGCCTTGAAATTTGAAGACTCAGGAGGGGTTTTATCAGTATGTATAAATACCTGAAGGGAGGGCGTAAAGAGAATGAAGGCAGACTCTTTTTAGTGGTGTCCAGTGAGAGGGTAGCAGGCAATGGGCACAAGCTACAGGAAATTCCACCTGAACATGAGGAAAAGCTTTTGTATTGTGAAGGTGACTGAGCACTAAAAGGGAGCAGAGATTTAGTAGAGTCTCCATCCTTGGAGGTATTCAGAAGCTGCCTGGACACAGTCCTGGAGTGGCATAATCTCCAGAAATCCCTTTCAACCTCAACCATTCTGTGTGTGTGATACTTAACTTTTCATGAATTTTGCTTACTCAATGGTTCTGAACATATGTTGTTTACTATGAACACTGAAATAAAAACAGTTAAGAAGTCCAGTCATTTTTTTCAAATTTTTGAATGTTCATTGTTGTTTTCACTGAAGTAGTGCCTAAAATATCAATAAGCACAATACATTCCACAATAAAATAAATCATAGAATCATTGAATGCTTAAGGTTGGAAGGGACCTCAGAGGTCATCGAGTCCAACCCCCCTGCACCCGCAGGGTCACCCAGAGCACGGGGCACAGGGCGGCATCCAAGCGGGTTTTAAAGATCTCCAAAGAAGGAGACTCCACAGCCTCCCTGGGCAGCCTGTGCCAGTGCTCTGGTCTGTTTTAGTTTATAATCTGAACATACTTTCAAGGATCAGAAGGATACTAGTTGAGAAACCCTCTACTGACCACAGCTTTTCCAAAGCAGCATCTAAACCAAGTCTCTAACTCATCTTGTTCTGCAACTCCTTAAATGAAAAAGGATACTCAATATGGTAAAATCCTCTTTTTGTTGCAGGCTAGATGGATCGTGTTTTTCTGGATTAGGATTGGAAGAAGCACCCCTTTTGTGTTATATGGTTCCGTTTTCGTTGCACGTTCAAGAATGTCTGAAGCATTTGGTGCCATCTCTAATATGGTAATGGAACATTCCTGTGTGTTTTAAGCAGCATAATTAAAGTGACAGTAAAGGGAGGGGGGAAGAATAACCTATTTAGACCTTTTTTTTGTGAATGACATTGAAACAAGGGTTATTTAAGGCCTTTCTTTACTTATTATTCCTTTCAGGAACAGAAAGCAGAGTCCAAAATACAAACACTTTCCTCTCCAAAGTAGGCGAGGCAAAGTGAGTGGGAAAGGAGAAGGCTGTTATCATTTCTGTTTTCCATTGAAGAGCAAAGTTCAATCATGCTGGGTGTCCCTAGTTGTATTAGTTCTGCTGATTATTGAATAAACTTCCAGACRGGGAGAAGCCAACAAAGAGCGATTGTCAAAGTAAGTCAATACTTTCATGTTTAAACCAGAGATATTTTATAGAATTTGCTGATAACTAAGGGAAATTTTCAAATAACTTCTTTTAAATAAACACCTACCTTCTCATTCATTTTCTGTGTTTTGGCTGAATTACAGAAAAATATATACTCATAGAATTCAGATGAAATTGAGTGAAAGAGACACAACTATCCAGGAGGTACAAATACAAAATGTGGATGTAGGTAGGCAAATGCAACAGATCCAGACTTGTTTCAACATGTTTGTATTTGTCTATTACCAGGATTCGCTTGCAACATATGACATTATTTAATAAGTGTCTATGTTGTTCCTTTCAAACAAATTGTCATTGATATTACTGTCCTTGGATTAACAGTTCTCCGTTTCTCACTCAAGTATTACTTTTCAGAAGGAACTGTCTTAAATATATTTAAAATGCGTGCTGAAGATGAAAAGAAACCTACTGAAGATGGAAACAGCTATGAGATCACTGCATTCAGACAGGATTTTGAATCTGAAGACAAAGAGTAAGTACTCTTAAAAACACTGTAAACAGGAGTTTTATTTATGAAGTCCATCTGATTATAATTTTTTCTTATTTTATAATTACCTGGAAAGCCTAGTAGCAGAAGGCTTTACTTCAGCTTGTCAGGAGCACTATCCAACATATCTGTTTAGGGCTGGGGATGGAGAGGGAAAGTACTGTTATCTTGTATGTTTTCCTTTAACTATATTTTGATGAAAAGCAAAACTAAAATCTAAATTACAAAAATAATGTCAAAGTAGACGTGTTGGTTGTGCTGACAGTATCAGTTAACTATGTTAAATTTCTTACTATAGCGGGCACTCAGTATTTTACGTATCCTGAGTATCTTTATTCTTGTTTCATTCATGCATTGTGACAAAATTTAGTTCTATAACTACCTCCCTTTTTCCTATTTCAAAAGCTATATAGTGCTTTGTTTCACAACTAAGCCTTGTTGGGTTGACTGGCATGGCTTACGAAAGCTTCTTCAAAACAAACATTCAAAAAAAGGTTAAGGAATTATCTCCATTTTCCTCATCATTGTTTCCTGTAAAATTATTTCAAAATAATATTTTAGTTGATGTTAATATGTTGAATATTTCTGTGAAATGTTGTCCCTTTTCAAATGTACTAAATCTACAATCCCTTTCAAGCAAGAAGAAAAAGAAGAAAGGAGAAAAGGCTAATGTGGTCAGYCCGCTTACGCTGGTAAGATGTGTGCTCTCTGTCTAAGTATCTATCCATCCACACACATATACACACACGCCCTTCAAAGTGTAATGCTCAAAACATGCCTAAAATAATTTTAGAACGCTGTCTCTACCCAGTAGCTTTAATGCTACAGAATACGGTGTATAGTATAGCAATCAAACTGTCCTTTTCATGTATGTAATTTGCAAATGAAACATGTTACTACCAATATGGATTGTTAGGAGCCTTCCCTTAATAAACCAGCATGTTGTACACACCTGTAATAGGAGATTTGTGTCTGTGGAAAGTAATAATTTCCATATTCAATCGCTTTTTCCGACAGAAAATAATGTGAGTCTGTGTTCTTAAGATTATTGTTATTATTCAGTCATTTAAATTACCTAGGTCACACTAATCAGCCCCTTACGTACTTATTAATCAGTCACCAGAATCAGCAGTAAAGTGAGGGGAACTAGAAAGTATTTGAAGTTCCATATAATTTATTTTCTGTATATTTTAAAATAAGATAGTCCATTAATATTTAATCAAACTAGGTCATTGATATTCTTTTAGTAAGACTAAAATGTTTTATTTTGTTGGCTTAGTATGAATAATGGGCAGCAATAATGTTCTAAATAATAGTAATAAAAATAATTGGCCAATGACTCGAATTCCTTACTTTGCTTTACTGGTGTTGCATCTGTTGCATCTGCAGAATCATACTAATGCTTTTGTCAGAAGTTTACTGAAGTCAAGGGTCAGAGGTTTACTGAAGTTTACTGAAGTCAAGGGAAAGAGGCTTTTTGTATTTTAGTAGGCTTTGATAATATGTATAGTTTTGATTAATTTGATTAAAACACTTGATATGATTTTTCTACCTGCACAATAATGAATTAACAGTAAAATTAATTTCTATCCTAATTAGCACAATAATAATAGTAATAAAAACTTATAATAGAATTTCAGACATCAAAATTAAAGAGAGAAAATTTCATATACCTTGTTTTTATATGCCTTTCTTACACTCGTGTAGATATTAATGCATTAAAACAGTACAATTCTCTAGTTTGCAGACTTCACAGTATGAAAAGTTTTTCACGGAATAATTGAATTCTCTATAGTTAAATTATTTCATAAATTTTATTTCTAATCAGATAAAGTTTTCTAATCAGGTGAAGTAGTTTTGTGATACTGATGGCTCTTTTTTGACTTTGCAGCTTTTCTGACATTGTGTTAGTGTTCTAATGCTGCAGTTAAAACGAATCTCTTCTCTCACTTGCAGTTTCGATATTCCAGTTGTATGGATAAATTACTAATGATACTAGGCACTATCCTGGCAATTGCCCATGGAACCAGCCTCCCTATTGGGATGATAATTTTTGGAGATATGACTGACAGTTTCGTTATTTCTGCAAACACAACTATTCCAGGTAAGAATATATCTTCTATATAGAAAAGAGTGTCTATATTTGGAATATATCCCAGGAGATGTGAGATATTGATGTCAAACTCCCAAACTCCTCAGCTTGCTCCTATACCGTGAACCAAATTATGAATTGTTGCGTTTGCTTTAGTGGAGATTGCACTGTGGATTACTTTTTTTTTTTTTTGTCCCTAATTTTTAGTCTCTTTACTAGTGGATTTTCTCAGTTAATCTGCTATGAGGCAGCTCCATATTCAACCAAGCACGTTTATGGGATAAACAGAAGGAGTCTCTTTTCTCCCTCTCTTCCCACCACTGKAAACTCCGGTTGCATAGAACCATCTGCTGCCCTTGAGCTGACCTAGCAATTATAGGTTAACAATGTGAACTGGAGAAATTAGTGTGTCCAACAGAAGCCTCACTAACAAAAGGAAAGTGCTTGTTTTCCCCTGGATCAGTTTGTTGATTAGATTAATCCTGCCAAATTAGAAGAATAAAATCAAGCACAAAGGAGTGTTGGAGATGCACTGCTGAATACAAGGGGAGAGCTGATAGTGTTGATTTGGTGTCATCTCACAGTTAGACCAGATTAGGTGGTATCTGCAGCAAACATTAGATGCTAAACTTGTGAACAGGCTTGTTCTTTAAGGAGTTTTTTATTAAGCATTTAATAAATGTCTATGGCAATACAGAGAAATAAAAGATTTGATTCTGTCCTGTCRTGTTCTCATTTGTGCTCTTATTTTTCTAAGAGACAGTAAAACAAGTTTAATGTCTTTATTAAAGCAAGTAATGCATTTATTTATCATCTAATGGATTATCCATTCCGAAGYAGAACAAATTGATCAAGTTTTATGGTATAATTATGAAGGACTACTGCATAGCCTTTTCAAAACATTTCTCACTAAATGCTAAAAGTGGTGGAGTAAAATTTTAAACTCCCTGCATACTTCATCGCCAGTGTTTTTTAATATAGAGCTGAGTTATCCACAGTTACTGATTTGATGGCAATAACTAGACCTGTATTTTAAATGGGTTTTGGCATTGTACAAATGAACTGTGTTTCTGAAAAAAAAAWAAAATAAATTAATCACAAGTGATATTGATGTAATTTTGTAGTCATTGGAGTCACAGAGTCATAATTAACTTTACATTGGTAGGTTTTTTAATAGGTAGAAATCTGAATCCTTGGCTTTAGGGCTTTTACAGTTTTTGCACTCCTTCCCCTTTAAAATTAACTTGAACCAATGGAAGGGTTAGGAACCCAAAATCTGCTGAAAAGCATACAGGAAAACAAATTGTTAAAAACTGATATATTAAAATTACTTAAAGTATTTATTATTTTCTCTCTCTTCTCCCTCCCCTTCTTTTTAAAGATAACTTTTCTGCAGTGAATATCACTTCAGATTTTCTTACCAAGCTAGAAGACGATATGACAAGGTAATTGATACTTGTTTTTCTTCTTATAATCTAGCCACACATTTCCAGGCAAGCCGTTCTTCTCCCATTCATCTTTTTTTACATAACTTAGACAATAGATACGAAATGATTACTTGAATAATGCATCTAATCTGATTTGCACATCAGATTACTGCAGGCACTGGGAAAAATCTTTAACATCCCTAGGCATTCCCAACATTTTCTCTTTAATTTCTTACTTTCATGCATCTCTTTCCCTTACTCTGAATGTTGTCTGCACCCATGTCATCTTCATTTCTCTTCTTTCTCCTTCTCTTCCTATGAATTTATAAATAGTAAATGTTATGCTAAAAAGTGCTAATAAATATCACCCATCAATTTCTTAACCTATGGTGATTCAGTGATAAGAAGTAGAATTAGAATTGACAGATACAAGCCAATTCCCTGTCAAGCATCAAGTTCAGCTAGCATATCTGGACTAAAGTAAAGAATTACATTCTGTGCCACAAGAAATAAAACGTTCTTGAGCAGACAATAGCAAAACAATCAGTTTTTCTCCAAAAAAAGTGTTGTAATTTGATTGAGAAAATGGAAAAGAAGCCAAAACATTAACAGGCAATAGATGTGTTTGAAGTGCGTTATTACTTAGTGTTCCTGCACTTGGTGTATGCAACATGTSTAAAAGTATGTCTTTTTCTTGTCCGCTTTCTTGTACTTCAGCTTTTGTTCTTCATCTCAAAGTCTGTTCCTCGTTAGGTACTGTGAAACACCTGACATCTTAGGAATATTTATATGGCTTTCAGAAGTGTTGTCCTACCTAAAGAAACAYGCGAGCATTTCTTCTAATACCTTTTGCTCTCACTTTTACTGAAGTGGGCACTTCTTTGAGGTGGACTGCAGACTTACGAATTGTCTATATCAAGTAGCTGAGTTTCAAATACATAAAAAAATCTATTTATTCGGAAGGAAAATCTGTGCTCTAAAATAAATGTGCAACAGTTGGTCAGGAAAAGATTTTAACTTAGAAGTGGAGAACCCTTGTGTGATAAAAAGGAATTATCAGGGAATTCACAATTTTGGTTTGTAAGAGAATATGGAGTGAACAGTTTCTTGCTCCCCCTGTGTTTCTTGTTGTTCACCTCTGACTTGAATGCAAGGAATGCGTTCTCACCTTATGTAGAATATACACAYACTCAGTCAGTCATTGAAGGAATGTAGGAATTTTCAGAAAAAAATATCTATTTTGTGTTTGGTATATACCTGATGCCTAGTTATACAGCATTTTCACACCGTTTTATATTTATTCTAAAGGAACTTGATTGTTTTCATAGAATGGTTGTTTTTGTAGAATATTTTTTTGAAACTTACTAAGGGCTTAGCTTGAATAATTTTTGATGAGCTCCATCGTCATGTAAATAAAATAAAGAGCATTTTCTGTTACAATTTAAAATTAGATCATGTTAATTTCACTATGTTATTCCTGTAAATATTAAAACTGCATTGGATTTATTTTCTCTACTGCAGTTAATTATTCCATTTATCCCTTTTACTGGGTGGTCATGTGGATGGATGGCCTTTAAAATTGTAGCACTTTTCATTATTAACAGCTCTTAATATTAAAGTTATAGGTATTACTGTTTTGATTTTCATTTGTAATGAAAGTAATGATACATATAACTTCAAAATTAACTTTTTTTTACTTAAGCTTATTCAACCTGTATTTTAGGAGMTGCTCTCAAGATGTTCTGCAACTACAGAAAATATTGCTGACATATGTAGTATAAAAGTAATGTATAAATCAGTTTGTCATTTATAAGGATTCTTTTAGAATAAGTAGTCTATACTTACTGATTAAAGGTTTGGGAGGGTTTTTGTTGTTGTTTATTTTGTTTTCTTTTTTGCTTGGTGAGTTTGCATCATATGTCGGCTAAAATAAAGAAAGAATCGTCCCTTATTCTCAGCAGACTGTTTTAGTAATTCAGTATTGCTTACAGAGCAAAGAGTACAGGAAAGTAAACAAGCTGACACAAAGGAAGTGTAAATGTGAATATAAAGCATATGATCTAAATATTGAGAACTATCTATTCTCGAGTGTCTAGGGAAGGTCTGTGTGAGGGAGATCTTTTCTTAGCATCACCCATGTCCTTTTCTCTTTTATATACTAAATTTGAGAGTACAGATGTGAGTGGAAAACAGCCTGACTTTCTCTTTGGAAACAGTTTATCCTCAGCACTGAATGAGAGATGTACTCTTTATTAATGGCACAGGAATAGATTCCCTTTTCCAGCATGTCTGGACAGAGTCTTGAGTGTGTTTATYGTTTTGAAAAAGCTTTAGCTGTTTGTGCCCACCCCTTGTGTCTTGGATAACTGCTGCCAGAAGGACATAATATTGAATATGATAACAAAAACTACAGAGAAAAGGTTGAAGTTAGTTCAAGAGCTTCAGTTATGAACTCGGCTGTGTTTGATACTCAGATAATAGTTTGCCTAAAATCCAGCGGTTTCTCAAAGGATAAAGAACAACTAATTTACAATGCAGTGAGCATTTACTCTCTGTTAAAGTTTCAGCAGCATATATCTCAGCAGCATGAAATCTGGCAAAGATACCATCCACTTCTGTTGTTTTGCTCTCTTATGAAACAAAGCCCAAGCACAAAACTACTCTTCAAAGTGATTGATATAACATCATAAAGTAATTGTCTGAAGTAACTTCTGCTAAGTTTTGGGTCAGTGCTCACATTGGTTCTGGTTTAGTAGTCCTTTTTCAGATTTTTAATGGAGCTGATCAAGATGATCAAGGTCAATATTCAGCTAATCATCAACCTTCAGTTAGGCATTAACTCATTTTTAGTAATCAATTTAGTTACAGTTCATTTTATAATGAATATAGTTCCAAAGTCCTAAACTAAACAGAACGTCATCTTGGCAACTGAAGGCTGCGTTCAAGTTGGAAAAGAATTTGTCTCTAAAATCATTACCTCATTTTTTGAGTAGAGAATTTACATACAGATTTCGGCAACAAACTCCTGCCAAGTTGCATGCTAATATTTAAAGGAATCAGGATAGAGAATTAATTACTAGTGAAGATGATCATTGTTTTGAAGCTTTTTTTCTTATTGTTCACTTTATATAATTACAAGTCATACAAATACATGTAATATGCACAGCATATTTCTCTACATTTCTCAACATTTCTCTGTTATTTTTGATCATGTTTTGTGAATGGAGTATCAATCATTTTAAATTCTTATGTTTTGGTTCTGGTTTAAGTTCACCTGTGACTGAAGTTATTGGATTCTTTTTGAACATTTCAAAATAATACTCAAATTCACTTCTAGTTTGAGAAATGCAGTAGTTAATCAAGCAGAAGGTATTGGTTTGTGTCCCTGCTTCTGACACCGAGCTGAAGGCATTTAAAAGTAAAGTATTGGTTATGAAAAAAAAYGGAGAGCAAAAGAGTTTCTGATCTGATGGCATTTACTTTCAATAGATGTATAGGCACGTTATATACTCAAATACAGAAATATTTCTAACATGCATGAATTATACGTATTTTTATATACAATTATGATTAATGATGTATGTAAATGTGCTTATAAAAACATTTAACATCTATACATATGTGTTAAAATAGAAATGCAACGATACTTATTTACACATTAAATGAAGAGAATATTTTATCTAAAAAATGATTCTAAAATAATTTGGGAAATTGTGTGAGATATTGAAAAAGAAAAAGAATTGTAGCTTGTACACAAGCTAAGAATAGTTTGATTTGTTGCATATCTAAAAGCAGAAATACTCAGGAAACTCAAAGATTTATAGGCAAGTTCATCTCTGTTAGCTTAATTGAATATAGCTACAGGAAAATGGCAAACTTTTGATCAAAGAAATTCCAATTCAGGTCTGAAAGGAAGCAGTGAGCATCCAGCTAAATAGAGATWAGTTAGGTAATTAGAACTGAATTCAGAGAATGTTGCAATTATTTTTTTCTTTCAGGTATGCATATTACTATTCTGGAATAGCAGCTGGTGTTCTTATTGCTGCTTATGTGCAGACTTCATTTTGGACCCTAGCAGCAGGTCGGCAAGTAAAGAAAATTAGAAAACAGTTTTTTCATGCAATTATGAGACAGGAAATTGGATGGTTTGATGTGAATGATGTGGGAGAACTTAACACTCGCCTCATAGAGTAAGTACACTATAGCTTCCACAATTTTATTTTATTTTATTTTATTTTATTTTATTTTATTTTATTTTATTTTATTTTATTTTATTTTATTTTATTTTATTTTATTTTATTTTATTTTATTTAACATATATGAGCTATTTTTTAAAAAGTTATTTTTTAATTGAATTATTTCACTGTAAATCTCATGCAAGTTATCTTATTGAGAGTCTCAGAAGCTGGACTTCTATCACTTCTGATACTGGACTATCACAAATAAAAGCACTTGCACAAGTGCCTGTGCAGTCTGAGGATGACAACTCCATACTGTAACATGACCTCCATGTAGAAAATGGTTTTCATTTCTGTGAACACCAGGGCTCAACAAGGGGCTAATTGATCCTAAAAGTGTGAATAGTTCAAATTGCAAGACAAGCTATTCTCTTTACTTTACTTTACAAGACTTCAGTTTTTCCTTCCGAATATCCCGTGGTTTCYAGATAGGTCTATAGTCTGGAATTAGAAGAGATAACAATAGCAACTACTACTGCAGGCAGAACTTCAGTCTTTTCAGAGGCAAACAGAAATTTATAGAGTGGAATTTTCCCAAGATTTATGAAAATTTCCATGACTGCATTATATATTGTTCTACTCTTGAACAAATTGTTGGCAAGCTTGGTGCGGATGACACCAAGCTGGGTGGAGTGACCGACACTCCAGAGGGGTGTGCTGCCATCCAGAGGGATCTGGACAGCCTGGTGAATTGGGCAGAGAGGAACCTCATGAGGTTCAATATGACAAGTGCAGGGTCCTGCACCTGGGGAGGAATAACCCCAGGCACCAGTACAGATTAGGGGTCGACCTGCTGGAGAGCAGCTCCACGGAGAGGGACCTGGGAGTCCTTGTTGGCACCAAGTTAACCAYGAGCCAGCAGTGTGTCCTTGTGGCCAAGAAGGCCAATGGGATCCTGGCCTGCATCAGGAGGATGTTGCCAGCAGGTCAAGGGAGGTGATTCTGCCCCTCTACTCAGCTCTGGTGAGAACCCACCTGGGGTGCAGTTCTGGGCTCCCCAGAATAAGAGGGATGTGGAGCTTGTAGAGAGGGTCCAGTGAAGAGCAACTGAGATGATTAAGGGAATGGAACATATCTCATATGAGGAGAGGCTGAGTGAGCTGGGCCTGTTTTCTCTGGAGAAGAGAMGGCTGAGAGAGGATATGATTAACATGTGTACGTTCATGAAGGGAGAATGCAGGGAAGAAGGGGACAAGCTCTTCTCATTGGTGGCCAGCGATAGGACAAGGGGAAATGGGCATAAGCTGAAACACAGGAAGTTCCRTCTCCAGGTGAGGAGGAACTTCTYTCCTGTGAGGGTGACAGAGCCCTGGCACAGGCTGCCCGGGGAGGTTGTGGAGTCTCCTTCTCTGGAGGTCTTCAAAACCCGCCTGGATGCCGCCCTGTGCCCTGTGCTCTAAGTGTGCCTGCTTGAGCAGGAAGGTTGGACTAGATGATCTCTAGAGGTCCCTTCCAACCTTAAATATTCTGTGATTCTGTGAAGTGAGAAATATCATCCTCTGTAAAGATGCCCAAGTGGCAAAATTGAAAAGCTTGATATGATTCTACATTTTCCTTCCTATCTGAATGGATTTTGTTTTTCAGTGATGTCGCCAAGATTAATGAAGGAATAGGTGACAAAATTGGATTGCTTGTTCAATCATTAACAACATTTATAACAGGATTTATTGTCGGTCTCATAAGAGGATGGAAATTAACTCTTGTAATATTAGCAGTCAGTCCTGTCCTGGGTCTTTCAGCAGCTCTCTGGGCAAAGGTAAGTTAATATACTTTCGTGTCATGCTTTTATATCAATGAGAGATAATCAGATAAATCTACATAACTGTAATTCTCAGTGTTGGAATGCATCATTCAGGATAACTACCATAGCTTTAAACAACATTTATGTACATAAGCTATGTTAAATAAATTATATACAGCTATTCTTATACAGTTTCAATATTAAAATTCCCATACAATAGATTTGCTGTGACTTTAACATAACTTATTCTACATGGAGAAGGAAACAAGAAATATCAGTAAAATATATACATTATTTACTGTTTAATTACATCTACTTGTTCTGTTGACTCAAATTGTACCCCCCTGAAAAAGTACTAAATAAGCTAGACCAAGAATGGGTCTCCTTGGCAGAACCTCTTCAGAGTTACAGCTTTAGGATAGACAGACTTTTAGATGAGTCCTAAATAACCATGGGATTAGAGTGACTAGTAAGTTGCAGTTTAGAGCCTTCAGATTTTTWCGCTATTTTGTTTCCAATACATTTCAAGTGTTATATAAGGCTCTGTGATTTTGAGTATTTTGAGGAAGAAGCAGGAGCGTGTGCTGACAGCCTGCAGGGACTGTGGCAGTGCACACAAGCTATAGGGCTCGCTGGCTGCGCTGGCTGGAGATCAGACCTAGCCAGAGAACCTCAGCTAGCTCCAACTGCCAGAGATCCTCAGCTCGTGTCGTCTTCTGCACTGGGCCAAAGCAGAACTGAAAATCCAGACTTCCGTTCTTAATATTGAATTATTAGACTGAATTTTTCATGTAATGAATAATTTAAATATTGAATGTTCTGTCCTTCTTGTGTAATATAATCGAATGATTCATATTGTAAGATAATAATTGTGATAAAAGTCATTGGGAAATTTTCTTAAGTCAAAATAGTGCTCATTCTGGTTTTTTTAAGTCAAAATATTTGATCCTTTGTTAGGTYCTGTCTGCTTTTACTGACAAAGAACAAGCTGCATATGCAAAGGCAGGAGCTGTTGCTGAAGAAGTTTTGTCCTCAATTCGGACTGTAATAGCTTTTGGAGGACAGGAAAAAGAGATTAAAAGGTAAGAGCATTACTTAGATAAAAGCAATGCTCACTTTCATCAGCTAATTTTAAAGTAATCACTTCAGGCAGCTTGAAATTTTGTTGAATCTTCACTGCAGAAGATCTGTCCAAACAAGTGAGTCTTGTGCTTATTGCATTTTTGGACTGGAAGTTGTCTATCTGTAGTTGCCTTTTACAAGTTTTACTGTGTATGACGACAATTATTTACTTTATTAGAAACTCACAAAGTAAGCAGATACATTGCCTCTCCTCTAGSAAGTGTATAAACTATTTGAAGCATCACACAGCAAGTAAGAGCTTTGAACAAGAAAGGTCATGCCACGAGAAAAGAGGACAATATACTTAATATGTGATTACTCAATACTTGTGAGGGGTTCACATCACACAGCACGTAAGAGCTTTGAACAAAATAGGTCATGCCACGAGAAAGAGGACACTACACTTAATATGTGATTACTCAGTTCTTGTTGTGAGGGTTTCATTAATCGATATGTCATTTCCACTGCAGAACATCATTCTTATGTTGTATTTTAACCTTTATCTAGAGCTAACAATCGTAATCTCAAAACCTGTTGCGAATGGTTCACAGTCCACGTTCATTAAACAACAGGTAATTTAAGGAACTCGCATGACAGTCACTGACCTGTAATGCCCCCTCTTTTTTTTTTTTTTTTTTTTTGAATTCTATTTGCCATTTTACCTCACATTGGCCTTTCTATGGACTGCCTTACGCTTCCATACCTGAAGTCTGAGTACCAGACTTCTCTTAGTATTTTATTAATCTTAGATCTTCTTAGATTAAGAAGATCTTAATCTAAGGTTTCACAGTTCACGTTCATTAAACAACAGGTAATTTAAGGGAACTCGCATGCCGTTCCTGGCCTTTTAATGGCCCCCTCTTTTTTTTTTTTTTTTTTTTGAATTCTATTTGCCATTTTACCTCACATTGGCCTTTCTATGGACTGCCTTACGCTTCCATACCTGAAGTCTGAGTACCAGACTTCTCTTAGTATTTTATTAATCTTAGATCTTCTTAGATTAAGAAGATCTTAATCTAAGGTTTCAGAGATCACATATCTCCAATAGCACCTCATCAGTGTTTCTTTTTTTTTTKTTATTTCATCCACAGTCTTTTTGATGTTTTTGAGGCAAAACTGCCTCCATTTTAAACTTTCATGTTTTTTTCCAGGTACCATAAAAATTTAGAAGATGCTAAACGCATTGGAATAAGAAAGTCTATTACTGCRAATATTTCTATGGGTGTTGCTTTCTTGCTGATATATGCATCATATGCATTGGCCTTCTGGTATGGAACTACCTTGATAATAGCTGACGATTACACTATTGGCAATGTTCTTACAGTAAGTATGAGTAACTGACCATTAATAAGAAAAAAAATACTAATGACAAAGAATGAAGTCTATTTGGGGAACTTATTTAAATTTAATGAGAATTTTACACCAGAATCATCAACAAACTTACCTTCCTTCTTACTGCAAGAGTCTATATGATATTTCTATATAAGGTGTATAGTACTGTAAAATCTGCCTCAAGCCAAATAAAACATATATTATTTTCAGATGATTCTATACCTCTTCTGATTTTAGTAACATCATGACAGGCATAGGAAAAAACAGTTCAGTCAAAAACAAGGACAGTGTCTTTCCTAATTGCTATTTGTTGTCGGATTTCTGGGTATGTTTTCTTGATACAGAAGCAACAATTTTGCTTTAGCTGTTGGRAGCTCTAAGTAGATCATTTTATTGATTCTTTTCTTAAATTTGGCTTCATAAGTGCCTGGAATATCTTCTAAAYATTTTTAAAAGCTAGGGAAAGAAAAGTAAACTTCTGACTAGGAAGTATGCTACCATCAAGAAGAAAGAAAACCCCAGAATTCTTCAGTTCTTAAAATCTTCTCTTAATGTGGCAAGCATTCTATTTTTTTATAAGTTATTCTCTTTTATACATTCATATAACTTCTTTAATGATGATGAACTCAGACTGGATTCCAGATACCTATACATACAGGAAAATATTTAAGTTAAAAGACTTTTTTTGAAAGCATATACTTAAATACAAGAGACATTTTTTAAATTTGGGGTCATCCTGGTTGTTTAATCTGATTGCATTTCTTTGTATGTAGTTAGAGTAGCAGGGAGAAATAAAATGACAGCTTGCTCTGTTCTTTTATGCTTTCCTACATACATATATTGGACCCCACTCTTGCAGAAAAGAGGATGTGTGTAGTGAAACTTCTGTGTGATAACTTTCTGTCTGATAACCTGTGGCTTTTATTATGACCTCTGTTTGAGTATACCCTTTTATTGCTTTTATTTTGGTAGTACGTGAAGGCATTGAGCTGTGATTTTATTTATTTATTTGTCTTTTTCTCTTTTTCATGTTTTCTCACATATGCTTGCCCTGTTTGCTGCAGTGGAGGGAACCTGTGTTAGTTTTGTATGGAGAAGGTAGAATTGCATACTTTATTCCTCTGTCATTTTGAAAGCAGAATTCTGGTAGTCTGCATATGCRCTTTTGTGCCATTGAGGGGCACACAATGTTTTCTCAGCTTAATTCAGATACATACTTCCTAGCCTTCAGATCATCTTTTGCCAAAGAATGAATGAATACGGTATATCCTGAAATATCAAGTGGAAGGACACATTTCTGGGGAGAGACTTTGGAGATTCTCAGTCACTCTTTCATCCTTAGCAATCTTGCAACATCAGCATGTGCAGTGATATTGTACAGAAACAGTTATCAGAGACTCTTAAGAAAAGAGACCCTTTTCTTCCTAATGTCATTCTTTATTTCATTTGCTCTTGAGGTCTAGATTCCTTAAACTTCCATAAGAAGTGTACAGCGTCTTGATTAAAGTTAACATATATTCTCYGATTCTAGTTAATTACAAACTGATAAATTTCATCATGAAAATTTCTTTCAGGTTTTTTTCTCTGTGTTGATTGGAGCTTTCAGTATCGGACAGACTGCTCCAAGCATAGAGGCATTTGCTAACGCAAGGGGAGCTGCTTATGCAATATTTAATATCATAGACAATGTGAGTATCTTTGCCCTATATCTTTTTTCAATCTTTTTTCAAAACTCAGAGGCCTTTTTTTTTTTTTTTTTGTGCTGACAATGTTTATGGTGTGAAGTTAGCAAGAGTAATTAATGGTGAGCAAAATGAGATGTAATTCAAATTCCTATTGATATTATTCCATTAATAGCAACCTCACTTTTGTATTTCCAAGGAGACCTATTTAAGCRTGAAAGGAAAACCACTATTCTTATTCAGATTTTATCTGAACAAAGGAGGAAAATTGATTCAATTTTTGAGAATATTTCTGTTAAATTGTTAATAATATAAAAAGCTAGTTTTATTGYTATCACATTTGCAGCAATTTACTGCAATATTTGACTTCCAATTTCATCTGATCTTGACCACGATAACATGATTTATTTGTTTTCTTAAAGACAGATATATATGTATACAGGCAGATAAAATGTGTAGTTAATCATCAATTCCTCTTCGTCTCTTAGAGTTACCAATTCTTGCTTCATCAAATGCAATGGTAGTAGAGCATTGGAATATTTATTATTGATGCTATCCTCTGAAGTTTTTATTGTGACTGCAGTACTGCATAAAGATGCAATTACAGCTGATGCAAAAATACTAGCATCAGATTCAAGGACAGTAGTGGAACCAGCAGTACCATGAGCATCTCACGATATAAAACCCTACCTGATATACAGGATCTGTGCTTTAGTTGCTAGGAGGTGCTGAAGTCAGGGAGGCTGTGAGTTTACTCACTAAAGAAAATAGCATGAATACACGAAATTGTATGAAATACAACTACACAGTTTGCATTGTTGTTAAGACGTATTTCAAGTTCTAGACCTTCCCTGGATGGAGATAAGAATAGTGTTTATTAATAACTTGGATTCTGCTTAGTGGTCATTTGATCAACTCTTTCTCACAAAAATGGTTTCAACAGAAAGAGCAAAGTTATGAATTAAAAGACACTAACAACTCACTACAGCAAGTACATTCAGGTTAATCATCAGGCAGTGGGATTAATCTCAAAACGCTGCTAGATATGGGTACTGTCTTACTGTACTAAAATCACAAARAAAGCTTAAATGGAAATTTATAAAAGTGTTATTGCATGTATGCTTAAGGACTGTATTAAAAAAAATCAAAATAGTGTGCAATTTACATGTTTTGAAATCTCACTAAATGAGTTTAAAATATATTTTAATATTTCTACAGAATGATGATGCACTCCACAACTTCTCTGTGAAAAACATATCATTAGGAAATAAATCTGTGTGTGTTTTTATTTTGCACAGGAACCCCAAATTGACAGTTATTCAGAGGTAGGTCACAAACCAGACCATATTAAAGGAGATTTGGAGTTCCAAAATGTTTGCTTCAATTATCCATCCAGACCAGATGTTAAGGTAAATGAAGACGATACTGATCACAGTTCAATATGTGAATCATTTATTTTTTTAAAAAAAAGTCATATAAATAAAATCTTGTTGAAAATTTAACAATTTAAAGGTTGGTCCTCTAAATCATATAAAAATAGTCTACCACCACAGTGATTTTACATAAATTTAATTTAAACACTAACTAGATACGTTAAATCATTTGAATGATTTGTCCCTAGGAGTCAGTGTGGCTGTGAAACAAATTTCTCTGTTGTTCCCACGATCTTTTTGTTATAGGTCTAATCCCCCAGTCTGCATACCAAAAAAAAAAAAAAAAGGAGACATAGGCAATTTCAAAAGTACTGCAAGGCAGCTCTGTTAACACTATATCAGTTAATAAAGCAGATCCAGAAATTTTGCCTGGTCAGAGAAAATCTCTGCTTTGTTCAAGCACTTTCATAGAACCAGAACTTCCTAAAGTAATGGAGATGGAAGAGACTTGAATGGTTTCAGAAAATATTTTAATGAAGAGTATCTTTGCAGTATGTAACTGTTTCCTTCCCTTCCTTAAGGAAAAATTGCTGAGCTAGGTAAAGGAGTGTTTCCTGGTTTTGATCAGCGGAAAGAAACACTGGAGTTTGCTTTTTAAAACATTTTAGTCATTTTAAAAAACTTCATTCATCTTCTTGACAGAAGAGTAAGCTGAAATGGCTGTTCTTGATTTTTCTCCCTGTAGAAATAGAAAGATCTGTTAATCTCAGTGAGTTACATTCTTTTCTAAGTTTATACGTGTATGAAATGAATAAAGAGATTTCTTCTCCTCGCTTTCAGAGATTGTAATTTAGAAAGTAGCAAAAAGATAGAAAGTATTTCATAGTAAAGATAAAAAAAAAGGAGGAGATGGCCAGATAACACATGGAATTTTATTTTTGCCCAAATTAAATCTATGACTTTCAGGTTACCTCTTGTTTGCAACAGGATTAAGGAGAAAGTAGAGACAAGTACATGACAGGCACGATGGAGACTGCACTTCCTATCTCATTACACAGGTTTATTTGCTGTCTATTTTGCCTTCTTGTTTTTCTTTAAGTTGTTAGAAACAGCCTACATGGTTTAACCCTTAAATTTTATTTTTGTGGAGGAAAAATATTCTGAGTGATAGCCCTTTGTGATCAGTGACAATCCATAAACTTTTAGATCAACCTCTATTGCTAGTTTATCTTCATTTAAGTATACTTCAGTTGCTACTTGCAAGGCATATAGAGTAAATGTTTTATAGGACTGCAACACAAGGTTAAGTAAGGCTCAACTATTATTTATTTTAGACTTTTTGTTTGATCTATAAATACTCGCCCCAAATAAGACAATCCTAGTTATTTGTCTGTGCCTTTAATTCCCAAACAGTGAGATATACTAAAGGTGGAGAGGCAATAGTAGTGTGGAGTGTCCAAACGTATGAGAGAGGATGGTGACAAAGAGACACTACGGGCAACACACTGGGAAGTGCACTGAAAATATATTGGAATGTGCTGGTACATTGCTGCACATTCAGCACAGAAATGTTTAGCCCTGTTGTGGGTGTTTTTGAATCTGAGTAGTTTATTGTAGCAATCTTTCTAGAAGAATGATCAGCAAAAAAAGAAAAAACACTTTTTTTCCATCTCAATATACATTCTCTACTGCACTGCTTGTATAAAGTAGTGAATGTTATATAGACTTGTGTTCATCTGTTTACTAATTTTACTGTTTACTAATTACTGCTCAATAATTTTCCTATACTTTCTGTGGTCTATTCCAGAAAATGGGAATTTACAGAATACGGCATCACAGTATAAAATTAACAATATAGTTTTAATATATTATTTTGTTGTAAGAGATGGTTCGCAGTACAGCTAACTGTGAAATGTATTGTGTAATGTATTGCTATTAGACCGGTTCTGGTGTAAGGCTGAAGAAAATTTCACTCATTTCAGAGTTCTCCTACATTGAGGCTCACATTTTTATGCAACATGGTTTTTTTTTTTTTTTGCTAATATTCCATTCTATAATATCTCTTAAAGGTACTGAAAGGCTTGAATCTCAAGGTTAACTGTGGCCAGACAGTAGCCCTTGTTGGTGGCAGTGGCTGTGGGAAAAGTACAACTGTTCAGCTCATCCAGAGATTTTATGACCCCAAGGAAGGCATGGTAAGAGAGCTCAAGTGAGATGACTGCTATGTTCAAACACAAACAGAACACACCTTGTTTGAAGTCTAGCCTCTGGCCTTGTTGCCCTTGTTTAAACGAAACAAGAAAGTCTCCTCTAAAACGGCACAGGCCAAGATGGTGTGAGCAATAGCAGACACTTGTCATCTGCATCCCTTTGTTTAGGTTACCATTGATGGGCAGGACATTAGGAGCCTCAACGTCCGATATCTGCGGGAGATTATTGGCGTGGTGAATCAGGAGCCCGTGCTGTTTGCTACTACTATTGCAGAAAACATTCGCTATGGCCGTGAGAACGTCACCATGGAAGAGATTGAAAAAGCTACCAAGGAAGCCAATGCCTACGACTTCATCATGAAGCTGCCCAATGTAAGCAACCCCTCTGTCTTGGTGAAGAGGTTTCCCTAAGCAAGGCTGCTCAGGCTACATGGAGTTCCTGAGGAGGGATCTCCCTAAACCAGCAGATAGACGAAGCTGTCCCTGGAGTTGTGATTACAAAAAGTCTTCTCCTTGTAAGAGAGTCTTGTGACTACAAAAAGTCACAATTGTGAAAATATTCTCACTATTGTGAGAATAAAGTTAATGTCAACTCTTCAAGCCATGGTTGGATGAGCATTTCTGAGGACTGAGAAATACTAGAACTTGAGGGACGCAAAGAATGAGGAAGGCACTCACTTTCAAACGAGTGTTTAGTGTTTCAGAACGGGGCAAAAATCCTGCTGGTGCTACTAACACAGACGTGGCCCTTCTTTATGCTGCCTTTAATTGGTGAACGTATCGTGCTGTGGAGTGTTCTGAAAGAGTGTGTTGTGTCTTGCAGAAGTTTGAGACCCTGGTTGGAGAAAGAGGGGCCCAGCTGAGCGGAGGCCAGAAGCAGAGGATAGCGATTGCCCGTGCTCTGGTTCGCAACCCCAAAATCCTCCTGCTCGATGAGGCCACCTCAGCTTTGGATACTGAAAGTGAATCCGTTGTGCAGGCAGCACTGGACAAGGTCAGTATTGCTCTGGAGTGAAGTAGGTGAGCAGGAGCCTGTGGTTCCCTTTTCACAGATGTTCATTTAAAGAGCTGCAAGAACTAGAGACCCTTAGAAAACATAAAGTGAATTTGGCAAATATTTTCTGTACAGATACGTTTTTTTTTTAGATCTTGGAGGTATTACAGGGAGAAATCTTTTTTCAAGTGAAGATATATTTTTGTGTGTGTTTTATTAATTTTAAATCAAGTTTTTTGTCATAAATGCTGTCTTCTACGATACACTCTCTTATAAGTAATTGTTCTTATTCTTGTTTCTCATTTAACTAATTAACTTATGTTGCAACCTGACAGACAGGGAAAGGGCTACTGGCATGTCACAGGTGATTGTAGCAGGGATCTGGTTCTTTAACTGCAGGAAACACTTTAAGGAAACATTTGCTTCTGTCAATATGCATATCTCTAGGTGCTCTTTTTCTTCTCARTGTAGAGACCATCACAGGGACATCTGATCCCTGATGAAACTAAGATGTTTAATCAAAATCTATCTGTGTTCATATTGTGGCAGTATTCTCACAAATACYATTTTGAATTTATCCATTTGGTCTGTCTTCCAGTTGCAGTACTGTAATGTTCCTGCAGATGATTTCTAGTGTGGGTAAAGTGTTGGATAAAGACAGAGAGTTTCAGGAGAATTATTAAAGGAATCACTTTTAATGGAGAAGAGGCACTTATCTAGCTTTTCTTTGTGCCATTATCTGAAGCCTTTGCTGAAGACCTAGGGAAGATGGACTGCAACCAAGTTTCATCCAAAGTCTGCTTGTGATCATTAATTTGACTAGTTAAGCTGTAAACCCYTTTATTATTTTAATACAACGTTAATACTAAAAGGGCCGACTATGACATTTTCCATATGATGCATAGYAGGCATATAAACATCCAAAATGAGTTAGATAGTTAAATTGCATTTTACATGAAATTTTAGAGAATTTTATTTTTAGTGAAGCTATATGAATGGACAATGAATTAGAGCTTTGAACACTGAACCTTTCTTTAAAGCCAATCTGAAACAGTTTTAATAATGCTTCTAAATRTATTTACTGGTTTAATTGAAAATAAAACATCCTTCACAGATTTTAAGGTTTATATGCTACAGATTTAAATATAAAAATATTAAGATTTTAAAATCTGCAATGCTGAGAAAATTTTAGAAACATATATGAGCAAAATATGGTACATTTCGTGCCTCCACCAAAGACTGTCTCAGTATCTATGTTCAAGCTAAAAATTATAATCCTGTTTTAAGGTATTAATTCAAACATAGTTACTTTTTTTGAGGGGGGGAATCTATTGTTTCTCTGTGGACAATTTAAATTAAYATAAAAGTTTGTTATTTTTAGGCAAGGGAAGGACGCACCACAGTTGTCGTAGCTCACCGATTATCAACAGTCCGTAATGCCGATTGTATAGCTGTATTTGAAGGTGGAATTGTCACAGAACAAGGGAATCATAGTGAATTGATGGAAAGAAAGGGAATCTACTACAAATTTGTTAACATGCAGGTATTTTTTTCTGTAAACTGTTGCCTGATATTCCCTATTGTATTCATTATCAATAGTTGTTTTATTCTGTCAGATCTATTTTAAAATTCTGCAGCAAATTTTGTTACAAGTGAAAATTTTGCTTTTAAAACTAAGAATAACTTGAAATAGAAAGCTACAARATGTCTTACCAGACCTATTTAACCTGGGAAAATACATCTTTAATCCTTCAGGATTTTAAATTTAGAGGATTATTTTATATTATCCAGTTAATGTAGGGCAGCCAACACAGCTAACATACGCTAGCATTGCATGTTCTTAGCCTACGATAATTGCAAGATAAAATATGTTTGCTAATACTAGAGGAGTAGGACATGTATATTTACTTATTTGCTTTAAATTCTTCATAACAAAGTTCTTTTGAAGATAAAAATATGGAGGGGAAGAATAAGAAGTTTGATGCAGCTATGCTGAATGTCAAAATACACACGTTTTAAGCTGTGTGCCAGAAGTCCAGAAACAGAGATTATACATTAAAAATTATACGTGAGCATCAAAAGTATATTTGTTATCAAGTGAAGTACGAAACACTTTAGTACATCCCAATGTCACATGTTATGTTGAATTTCACTGCAGCTTTCTAKGTAATTGGTGTTTTACAGCATGATTGCTATGTCCATTAAAGAAATCAAAAGATATCTCAGTATGTTACACTGAAAAGAGTAAAATGAGCCAATTAAAAATGTTCTATGTAAAATAACAGTGAGAAGTGATTTAGTCACCTTCAAAGTAAATGAGTATTTGGATAAATATGGTGACTGGGGAAAAAAAACAGGAAATGTAAAATAGACTGAAAATAATTTAATTTCTTTTTTCACTTCTTCTATCCTGAACTTCCTTGTTATATTTTATGTCAAAAATTGTAAGAGAACTGTCCCCTRCAAAAAGGAGCCATTTTTCTCAGTTCATGAAGTCTCATTCATGAAGATCCCAAGATGAGTACAAATCATTCATATTAAATTCATATCTCTCTTAGGAGTTAATTTACACAACAAAGCAGCAATTTCCATCTGGGCACTTTAGTTTTTCTTGAGAAGATACTCCTGTATATCAAGCAAACCTTAAAGAYAGAAATCTAGATAAATATAATAACATTTTTCAATTTATAGCATCATATTCTATTCTGCCTATATATATTTGTGCTGATTTGTGTTCTTGGTTACTTTTATATCAATTTCCTTAAAAATTGGACCACTCTATCAATAATAATATATCATAATAATATMATAATATCATAATCAAACATTATGTGTTTATACACATGATTTATCTTACCATGTTCTTCCCTATTTTAGTCAATAGATACTGATGTTGAATCGTCAGAAAAAGATGAAAATGTCCTGAGTGTCAAAAAAAGTGTCTCTGAATCAGAACTGGATGAATCCTTAATAAAAGGAGGACTGCGAAGACGATCAACTCGGAGAAGCTTCAGAAGACCGGGAGAAAATGGTGATCCTGAGGAGAAAACAAAATTGCCTGTAAGGGCTCTTGTGGAGTTCATAGTCCTTTTTGATACCTTTAAACAAAGTGCATTGAAATTAAATTCATGTTCCTGTCTTAAAAAGTACAAAGAAAAGGAAATGGGGTAAAGTTGGAAAACATATAGTTTGAAATATAAAGTCTGAAAATATATGAAGTAAAGTTTCGTATGGGGTAAAGTTTGAAAATTTTCTGATTCTAATTGAATTGAAATTGGCTTATAATATTGATAAGTTGCTTCATCATCTTCAGCATGAAATCTTATACAATTAAAACAGGATTTTTTAAGCCTGTAACTAGAATAAATTCATTTTAGAAAATAAGTCGGTTGAAATACTAGTATACCTTATTATATTGGAACACAATACAGACKCTACATAGGTTCTATCATTCAACCTAATCTACATAGGTTAATCATTCATTTTTGAATTAGAAACAAAATTTATGGCCCAAAATAGAACCCTTGCAACAAACCTGGAATATAAGAGGGTACATTAACCCTGGTAGCCAATACTAAGCCATCTGTTGTTATTAATTGTTCAATGAACAATTGCTTGAAATAATAACCTAGCCTTATACTTGAAATAATAACCTAGGATTCCACACAACAATATCCTCAGAATGAATAATTCAGTGACCACTAAACAATACCAAGGGTAAAGGTCAAACAAAATTATATGAGTTAAACTAAAATGTGAAGACAAGATCTATGGATATGTTATAACAGTTTTTTTTTCTTCTATTAAAATTAATAAAAGAAATATGCAATTAGTTTTTTTTTTTTTTATTAGGAATTATATATTTTGGATTTCCCTGAGAGGATGCTGGGAATATGAGATTGAGTATTACTCTCTTTTTTTTCTCCATAGATTTATTATATATTTGTCCTAACAAAATCCATATTTTATAGGACATTGAAGTACCTCCGGCTTCATTTCTGAAAATTATGAAGTTGAACAAAACTGAATGGCCATATTTTGTAGCTGGCACAACATGTGCAATTATCAACGGGGCTTTACAACCTGCATTTTCAATCATATTTTCAGAAATTATTGGGGTAAGTTTGAATAAAGTATATAAAAAGGTACATAATCTCTGAAATTCATTTGCAATTAGACTGAATTTTAAACAGTTCATTCATTAGAAAGCTGAGGAATGGATTAAATAAATCTGAAGAACTACAAGACCTACAAAATCCCCAAAACAAATCTTGTTGCAATCTGAAATTTGCTTTTTATATCTATAATCATGTATAACATATATTCATTTTTTTATGAATGAAAATGCGTACCAAACATACCTTTTGAGAAGTTCTGGACTACTTTTAGTTATTAGTAAGTTTTAAAAAATGCATATCTAAAGTATTATTTTATAGATTTTTTCAGAGTCCGACAAGGCTGTTATAAGAGAAAAGAGCAACTTATATTCACTGCTGTTTTTAGGACTTGGGATCATTTCATTTTTCACTTTCTTTTTCCAGGTATGTTTTATTATTTTAGCTTTGTTATAATTGTTTTATGTTCATGTTTTAGAAACTAGATCTCAAATATACTAAAATTTTGCTTACAAAATGCCTCCTCAGAAAACTCAAAATCAGTATCCTCATATATGGTTCTGTATGTGCTTCATGCTGAACTATGAATATTTTCTGACCTACAACTTGCACATTCCCAAGACACCTTCTAATATATTCCTGCCTCTTCACTTCTGAACTTTMCCTGTTCTTCACCAAACACATCTCAACACGACTCCTCGGGAATCTCTCAGTCTTCTTTCCCATTACTACCTAACCTCCAGCCATTCCTACATGCTATTCCTTCCCTTGTTTCCTCCCATCTCATGGCCTCCAATGAACTTGTGAGCAAGTGAAAATACACTATTATCTTAGACCTCCAGTATTTTATTCCCCTATCCCTGTCTTRTCTTATATGAAGCCCTAAAGTTTCCCTAGCCTGGTTCGTCAAGTGATGAATCAAATGCTGATCTTTGGTTCCTCTGGCTTAGATAACCAATCTTGAATGCTAATACGGTAGCCCCTGCGCTCACTGATTTCTGTAGCCATCTGAACTTATCCTTTCATTCCACTACTTATTCCTAGCCAGTGAAAATATTATTTTAACTCTACCCTAATTCTTACATAGGCATCTAATTGCTACAACAGTGTCATAATGAAGAAAGCAGTAATTCCATAGTGCTGCAGTCCATAGACTGCTGTTAAATTTCGGCGTTTAAGTATTTTTATGTAGTCTGATTTTATAATCTCCAATTTGGAGATTTTATAATCTCCAAATATTTTATAGCTTTATTAATTAAAAGATCTATATAATGCCCATTCTAAGATGTTTGATTTATGATTTTTTTAACCTGCATAATTATGGAAATTTATTGACAGTATATCAGCACAACAATGCTAATGACTGAAGTTAACAGAAAAATATATGTTTATTGAAATGTGCCATAACAATTCTTCTTAATATCACATAATACAGTTTCATCTGTATTCTATATTTTAAGGGCATATGATTTCTCAAATGTATATTAGCAATTATTAATGTCTGTATTCACAGATAGTAGTGAGATAAAGAAAGCTCATTAATGTTATACCAAAAGTGTAGGAAGAATGTGTCCTCTCAAAATTTTAATCAAGTTATTCTTTTGTGTATTTTAAAAGTGTTTCAAAAATCTGTCTAAAATATATTTTTGATTTATTATAAAACATTACTTTGTGTTGTTACTGATTGCTTTCTCAGGTTGTATTAGGATTCCAAGGAATATATCATATTTCCATTGGAATTAACAGGAAATCTACCTTTTACTTCAGTGAACTCAGGATTTCCTCACAAAACTTCTAAAGTAAAAAGCACTTGTTTAAATTTGACTTTGGTCAACTTTGATTAAAAATGCAGTCAAAGAGTTCATTAATCTTCCCTTTCTTGAAGCATACTGATAAAGTAGTGCTGGAAAATATTGGTATGTTGTATGTATTTTATTTAGAAATACAAACAATCGAAGCCTATACAATGAGTTTTACTAGAATTTATGAATACTAAAGCTGTTTTAACATTTGTTTTCTGTGATCATGACTATGATATTGTGTATTTTAACATAATAGAGATAGCACATCTAATTTACTAAGTAGAAAACAACATAATAGTACAATAAGCACTATATTTCTTCTCAAAYAGGGTTTCACATTTGGTAAAGCTGGAGAAGTTCTCACAATGAGGCTGCGATTCATGGCATTTAAAGCAATGCTTAGACAGGTAAGTRTTTTTAGAACTATGGAAAGGAATTYTTTTTTTWAAATTTTCATATGTTTAGATATCATGAAATACCTGTATTCAATGCTATTCTACAATATAATGACTTGGTCTGCAAAGAAGATTCTTTAAATCATCTTAGAAACCAGTTTGGGGTGGTAGGTAAAGTATTTGTAGGCAGAGATACTTAAATCAACCCAAGAGCTTTATACATATTCCTTGCAACACCTCGGATGTATAGCTAGGTTGCCATATTTTAACAAGTTGGTATGTACCAGCTGAGCCCCAGATCAGCACCACTGAAAGCCAAATGAGAGAGAGGTATTACAATTAAATGTTGAGGTCAGGTAKTGTACTACATCACCAGGTCTTTATGTGTTGAATATTACTCAAAATCACAGAATGGYTGAGGTTGGAAGGGACTTCTAGGGATCATCCAGTCCAACCCCCTGCTCCRGCAGGGACACCCACAGCACAGGGCACAGGGCGGCATCCAGGCGGGTCTGGAAGATCTCCAGAGAAGGAGACTCYACAGCCTCCCTGGGCAGCCTGTGCCAGGGCTCTGGCACCCGCACAGGAAAGAAGTTCCTCCTCATATTACGTTACAATTTATATCAGATATTTAGTCATGCGGTGAATAAGGATGAACTGTGTAGCTGAACTCAACAAATGACATTAATCACGTAGTGAGCTCTTAAATATAAGGCCAGATATATTTTTATCTTGTTTTATAGCTTCCCACTGTGTCTATTCAATCTAAGGAGAAACAAAGCAATACGTCAGGAGCTTTGATCCTGAAAGTTCTTTACAATTCTGCTCCACACATCTTTGCAATTAAAAAGCAATGTGACTGATGAGTCAATTCCTCCAAGAAGGTGCAGTTTTAATGTCCTGGCAGAGGGCAGATTTTGCCCTGCTCTCATTGCTTCTCAGCAATGACAAGCTATGCATCAGATCATCCACAGGCATACACTTTCTTAACCTGTTGACTGTGCAATTAAGGAATTATGCTTAATTTTATGTGCACACATTGACTTTTAATGTTCAACCTAGTTGTATTATGTAAACTTTAGATTTTATTTTAAAGACCTCAGCTTATATAAAATCTGCAGAAGATTGGTCCTAAGAAAGAAATGTTTCTTTTTATAGGATATGGGCTGGTTTGATGATACTAGAAATAGCACGGGAGCATTAACTGCAAGACTTGCTAATGATGCCTCACAAGTGAAAGGAGTAAGTAACAATTTCTGTAGGCATTTTTCATAGTTGTGTTAATATGCAATGCTGGAGGTTGTACTTGACTGATTARATGGCAATCTTGACTTTGACAACAACTAAAATATACAATTATTGGCAAAATGAGAGCTGGTATAGAATGCACTGGTGGGTTTTATAACAGTGACGAAGAATATTGCCTTGAAAATGCATAGTAGTCTTTAGTTTACTATTATGTTGTTCTTCAACCTTTATTATTGAAAAAAATAATTGGGAATCTGATTTTAAAACTCTGTAATTTTTTTTTTGGAAAGTCAGCAATATGATAGGTGCAAATGCTTCATATAGTGTACAGTTTCTTTAGCAAAACTCTCTTTTCTTCCCTCCTAGGCAACTGGTGTCAGATTGGCATTAATTGCCCAGAACATAGCTAACCTTGGGACTGGAATTATTATATCATTAGTTTATGGCTGGCAACTGACCTTATTACTTTTAGCTGTTGTGCCAATCATTGCTGTAGCAGGAATGATTGAAATGAAGATGCTGGCTGGACATGCTAAGAAAGATAAGAAAGAGCTGGAAATTGCAGGAAAGGTGAGTCTAGAGAAGTTCATCTAATTCTGGGTAATATTTCTGGGTCATTTATACCAGGCCATTGATCATAGACATTTTACTTCCATATATATTTAATGCCCTAATATCTTACTTTCAAAGATAGACTCTATACATTTACATTACTAGGACAGCAGAACATAACAGGTCTACAGTAATAATTGAAGATGTGTACTGTGTAAACTGATATTTATTTTTAGAATTGATAAATCCCAAAACTGTTCTTGAAGAATTCTTAGCACATCTTTCTGCTTCCTGTTCTGATTGTCTCTATTTTGCTTATTTTGCAGCCCTCTTCATTATCTTGTTGCTTTTTTTGGCATCCTTTTAGCATGCCATCTCTCTCATATATATTGCAATGCTCTTTTTTCTTTTTTTTCTTTCATCTTACAAATGTTTGCAGGGATATATCCACTGGTTTCTGAATCTCTTTGCCATTTCTTATTTGTTGAGTGGAAAAGAAAAGTGAGAACTGAAAAGCAAGAAGGCTAGGCTCTTGTTTAAAGGAGAAGTTAGAGGAAGGCATTTAATGTTACTTCATTCCAAAATCCTTTTGTGACAGAACAACTGTTTCATCACTTCCCAAGTATTACTTTTTTAGAGGTAAAACTTTTCTAAACTCCCTTCCYGTGTCCTACTGTTAAAAACTGTTGAGAAGGTCATGCACATAAACCATAGYATTAATCTCCAGATTAAGACACCAAAACGTAGTGTTTCAATGTACCTGTTTGCATACGTACTTGTTGTCTAACACTCCTTTATAGTTGTCGGAAATGTTCTGGTACGTTCTGCGTGGCCTCCATCTGCTCTTTCGGAAGTGCATGGGTCTACTCTGTGTTCCGTGTCACATCTACCATGTGTTACCCTAGTATTTTGAGTACCTGTATCTTTGAGGGCAGAACTACATGTGGGCAACTGAATTAGGCCTCTTACCATTCTAGTAAATAAACTTTAAGTAGGCATCTAATGGYAGGAGAGCTGAACTGCTTTCAAGGTCCTATTGAATAGATCTCCACTCATGTAATGGCAACATAAATGCCTATAATAGCATAAATTTGTGTATCTTAATCTGGACCGGAATCTGCTTACTAACTCGTAATTATTAAATTGTTTCTATTTTAATTCCTTCATGTCTGTGGACTAAGTTGCTCACAAATAATTTCTCCCTCCAAGAGAACTGGAAATTTTGCATAATCATATTTACATGGGCTTTTTCATATACTCCAAAAGATACATTTCCTTTCCTTTCCACTAATGATATTTTTCCTGTTCATTTCTTTAGTATCGTTTTGTGTTTCGTTTGTGAAACACGTATTTGTGCTTCTATTACAGATTGCCACAGAAGCCATAGAAAATATTCGAACTGTTGCAAGTTTGACCCGAGAAAGAAAATTTGAGGGCATGTATGGAGAACATCTGAATGTACCATACAGGTACGATAAAATAACTGAAGAAATAAAACCTGTGTTTTCATTTTACAATAAATTACATACGTTTACCTGGACTGACATTAATTTATTTTTTATTCATGTGTATTATTTGCATTAATTCTGAAGTAAGATCACATTGAAGATTTTGCGTATCTTTTTATTAACCAAGGAAGTCACCAGGAAACACTGTAGGTTTTGTTCTTTGCTTTAATTAATTTTCTGTGGTAGTATTAATATTTTCTATTGACACATCATTTGCTTTCAAAAAATCTTCCTTTTAAGAGAGCTTTGGAAGTTATCTATTTAATCTAATTAGATAACTAATCCCAGCTAAAATGTCTYGGATATTCAGATTTAATTAAAAACTGTTTTATGTAAATTAAATATTTCATTAACCTATTTTTGAAAGTGCAAGTGGGACTAAAAACTTTCAAATAATTACTTACTGGTTTGTGGTTGCAAAAAACGCTGCTTGGATTAAAACAAATTTTTAAAAAATCTTAAAATGAAAACAAAAATATTATTGTCAAACCTGTGTTTTTTTTCAGAATTAAATATTTAATTTTCAGACTTCCATTAGAAAAGGAAAGGAAATGACAGCATAAGTACATAGATATGATGGGAAACAAAGAAGAAGGGGTGCTGCCAATACCTCCATTGTCATAATTAAGCAATTAGACTTAGACTAAGCAATTAGACTAAGCAGGCTTCAGGATATAAGAAATACTACTTTAATTTCTTTTCTCAGCTTGCTCAGATTTGAGTGCATTCCTCACAACTTTCTGTACAGTACCGAGCCATTCTCAGGGTTGTCACCAGAGGAATTGTGCTCAGAGATTCATCTTAATATTGTTCCAGGAGAAATAAAGTATTTATTTTTCCTATAGGAAAGCTTGCCCTGTGGTACAGAGGACATGTATTTTTGCCGTGACATCTCAAKGCACTTTTAATAACTGATTAGGCAAAGCTTTTCTATTTTGTAAAAATTGAACATAGATCTTCTGCTATCCTGGATTAATGCACAAATTGGCTATGTAAAAGAGAAGGGACAGCTTCCTCTTTATCAAAAAAGACACGTGTGAATCTTGATCCTATTTTCTTTTCCCTACAGAAACCATGAAAGGCCAAYTTGAGAATAACATCGATATAATCAAAATCTGTATCAGTATAATTAAAATATTTTTTCTGTTAAAATTCATTTTAGCATAAATTTTTCTCTCTGCCCTGCTTTTAGTTATATACATAGTTTTATCATCCAAAATCACTTTTATGCACTTTACACGCAGGCTAAATCTTAGAGAAGAATTTTGGTGCGTGAACTTTGAAAGAAACATATGCCCAACTGCTGAACTGCTGAACATCTTATTTGGTTAGCCTGAAAAGTAAAGAAAAAATGATCAATAAATATATATATATAAAAAAAAATATATATATATATTCTATGGCTGAAAGCAGTTCTGCTGACATAAACAAACGTCTCATGATGCAGTAATACACTTGTGATGATATACTTTAAATCTTGAAAATTATAATCATGAACTCAACTGTAAAATATTTTAGCACTCAAACATGAGGTGGTAAGACAACAGTTAGACATAGCAACTAAGGGGACATGTTTTTCTTTCTCCATATTCCAGGCTGTTCTTTGAAGTAGACAGAMTTCTGAAAACAAATAAAACAAACAAACAAACAAAAACCCCAACATTTTCTCTTAGATTCAACCTAAGGAGAGAAAGGATTGTGTAACTTAGGAAGTTCTCCTAAGTATTTTATTTATCACAGCAGCATCTGAAGTGAATTAATTGCTTTTTATGTAATAGACTTAAGTATGATTGCTCATTCATATGAAAATAACATTCTTTCTTACAGAAATTCAGTCAAAAAGGCACATATATTTGGGTTTTGTTTTGCCCTTTCACAAGCAATGATGTTCTTTACCTATGCCGGCTGTTTCCGCTTTGGTGCCTATCTAGTGGTAAATGGACACATGGAGTATAAAAATGTGTTTTTGTAAGTATCTGCAATCTCTTCTCTTTCAATCTCTGCAATCACTTCTCTTTCAATCCAAAAGGAGGTCTTCATTGCTAAGGATATCACAAACCCATTGGGGTTTGTGATGAAATCACAAAATTGATTGTGAAATCACAAAATTGAGAAATGAGGCAAATTCTTCCTCTATGTTTAAAAATTATAGAAACATGTTATAGAAAATATATTAAGTAAATATTATAGACAATCACAGATTCTGAAATCTACAAGTAGCCCTGATTTTGGTATATGTATTCTGCACTATTATTTATCCAGAGGATGAAACAGTATTGTACTATGTCACTCTATTTATTCTTGCCTTATGGTTCATGTAGAGATCCACTCTATTTTCCAAAAGAAAAGATAGTTGTACTTGTTTATTGAAGCCTAATAATATTGTAAAACATCTTTTAAGAAAAGGTTATCTCTGTCTTTGTTATTTCAATGGCAGTTTAACTCATCAAAATTTGAAATCTACTCAGATATACACATTGAATAACTGTGGAGTAATGTTCTGTTTCATAGAGTAGCTGCTATGCACTATAAAGGAAAAATAACTAGATTTTTCTAGGTGATAGGGTTAATCAAACCAACTTTGTGTGGGAAATTAATGAAAGAACCATAAACGCAAGAACAATAATATTGAATGCTCTACAAAGAGAATTTTGTGATGCTAGAGGAGAGAGGGAAAGCAGCAGAGTGAATTTCCAGGGGCTCTGCTAGATTGGGAAGGGATGGTCTGCACTAAACCAGACCATGGGTGGGCCCTTCCTGGCTGTTCATATGCAGAATAAAACAGATTATCTTATATAGCTCTGAAGCTCTTGTGAATTAATCTCTAACTTTTGCCTCACAGCAGTCTAAGAAGTCTCATATGGTCAATTACTAGATTATCAGTTTCTCTGTGATGACTAATCCTGTGCCATGTGGCAGTAATTAATAGCTGAAGACAGCAGGTTCTTAAACCATTCTAACATAGTCCCTAAAGGCACATGCACACTTACCATAAAACAATAATAGTATTATTTTCAACGAGGGTTCTTCTTTTTTCTTTTTCGTTTCCTTTGGTACTGCAAACCCCTGGCAATTTTTTTCAGTAGAGTTGTGATAGAAAGCTAATTAAACCTTTACTGGCACCTTGCTACAGGATGAGTTTTTATTTTCACAAATAGCTTAAAAGCAATGGATCACAAACTGCCAGGCCATCCACCAATATCTTCCTAGCTCCTTTTAGGATTTGCTGCAGTTAATGAGACATAGTAATCAAAGACATTAGTGTCAATAAGTAATGAAAACATGGAATTTTGAGTGGAATCTCATTCATCTCACTTCATTAAAAGCAGATAAAATTTACTTCTGCAAGGAAATAAATAATTTATAAATAAAAATATTTAAAAATATATTTATAAAAATAAATAAATAAATAACTTATGACTCCTACTTAATTGTTCCTGAATCTAGCCCCCTATTTTGTTCAAGTACCATAGAAAGTTGGATGCAGCCCTGTTTCCATTCTCTTTTTCTCATTGCCTATTTACTGATTTTTTGGTGTGTGTGTTTTACAGAGTGTTTTCAGCTGTTGTATTTGGTGCAATGGCTTTAGGACAAACTAGCTCTTTTGCTCCGGACTATGCCAAAGCCAAGATATCTGCAGCCCACATGTTCATGCTGTTTGAAACAGTACCCTCAATAGACAGTTACAGTGAGGAAGGACTGAAGCCTGTAAGTATGCACTGCTATGCTAACATTTTATCTGTTGATAGCGTGGACATAATATTTCTTACTTTGCTGATTTTCCTTCTCTGATTTTCCTTCTCTCATTAGTTGCTTACCTCAGAATTTTATTGGTACTATCCAAATTATAACAAGAACCAAATACTCCATCATGAGCTAAAGACAAAATCTAGCAAATGCAAATCCATTAATTTCAATAGATACAGAATTGTGGAAGTCTAATTTTTTGAATCATTTGCTATCTAATTATTATAGAAATAATTTAAATAATACTATTTATATTATAGGAAAGATTTGAGGGAAACATAGCAATCAAGGATGTGAAGTTCAACTACCCAAATCGACCTGATGTCAAAGTTCTCCAAGGTTTGAATCTAAAAGTAGAAAAAGGACAGACTCTGGCTCTTGTTGGTAGCAGTGGCTGTGGAAAGAGCACTGTTGTTCAGTTGCTTGAGAGATTTTATGATCCACTTGATGGAGAAATGGTAAGCAATTTTTTTTGTAAGAATACACCTGCATGTTACGTAAGAATATATTGGTTTTATTTGGCATGATAAAGTATGATAGATATTTCTATTTGGGGAAAGGGCAGCTAAAAATACTTCTTTCTACGAAGCCCTGATTTACAGGGATTCTTATATAAATATGATGAAGTAAAACAATAAAAAACTATTGATTTTTTTTTTATTCACATGGGTTTGAATTGGTGCTTGGTTTAGTAGTGCATAAATGAATGAATCCAAACCTTCTTTTATTTTAATGGAATGCTAATGCCATTCTGCCTTTCAGTGGGAATATATATGTAAAAGTATTTAGATATATGAAGCTTTTTAAAATTCCTTCTTTTATGGGAAAAAAATGGGTAAAGTTCTTTGAAAAAGCTTCTGCATTATCCAGTCTTTCACTGTCTTCAAAATCATTATGAAATCTTGAAGCAAAGAAAAGAGCTAAAGAAGTAGAAAGAACTAGCCTTGCTTTTATATCATAATCTTTAGAATATTTTGGAAATTTGAGGAGAAAGAGAGGAAAGGATTATTTGATTTTTTTTTTCTGTAGAAATTCCGGTTTGAATTGAAATTATGTAACGTTTGGTATGAATTTGCAGTAAGTGTTATAGACAGATATGAGTGAAATTTAAAATGTTTCTTTTCTCAGCTCTTCGATGACAAAAATGCAAAGGCACTAAATATCCAGTGGCTGAGATCGCAGATCGGTATCGTCTCACAAGAACCAATCCTGTTTGACTGCACTATTGCTGAGAACATTGCTTATGGAGATAACAGCCGGGAAGTGCTACATGAGGAAATTGTTAGTGCAGCCAAAAAAGCCAATATTCATTCCTTCATTGAATCTCTACCAGATGTAAGTTATATCCTTTCTTTACACCTATTGTGACAGGGAAAGATTGTGCTGTGTTTGAATCCCTGAAATGCGATTAATTAGACCTGGAAAAGCTAGTTTTTAAAGTCTTCCTTTTTATTGTGTCTATGCTTTGTTTTTATTCTGGTAGAGTCCATTGGCATGTGGAGACCAGAACATTTAGGATATCAGAGAGGAAAAACCCATTCTATACAAGTGACTGAGTTTTGGAAGTGTGTGTGGTTTTGTGTTACTTTTTTAGGAGAGTTAGAAATGTTTTAAGGAGTTATAATTTTTTTTTTGTCAGCTATTTATCTCAAACATAGGTCGAAGATGATGAGTGTTGAGCTATATTAACAAAGTCTCTTACTGCAAATCAGATTGATCATAGCCATTTCTTCTGGCTATACTGAGTAAGCATGGGATGTTTTTAGTATTTCTGTGATTCAGAAATGGCCGAGTCTTTCATATATTTCTGAACAAAACCCAATAATGTAAGAATGAAATTCCTGARTCAGAGCAAAGGTTTTCTTTGCACAGAATCTTTTTCCAGATAGTGTCCAACAGAATATATTTTAAAGTATACAAAAAGTTTAAAGATTTAACAACTTTTCCACTAAATTCTCTTCTACCTGGTTAATTTGTGTCTCAGGAACTYCTTAAGGAAAAAAAAAAAAMCACTTTTTATTGTGTAACAGTTTTGGACTGACTTTTCTTCTGTGAGTTTGACAAATCCGTTTTTAATGCATGTCAGTTTGTGATATCCGCAACCAACTGAAGGAAGGAGTYTGCCAGCTTACTTGCATGTTGCTTGTATGCAGCTTACGTTTGCACTCTTCAGCTGCCTTTTTTTGTCTTTTGCCTTTTTTCCTGACAAATACAGAGGCGAAGGCCCAAAGTTTTTTGTACATCTCATTTATCTCATTTTTACATCTCATTTTTCGATCTGATCAATGGCTGCTATCAGAAGGTCTGCTGTGTAAAGAAATATTATGRTACATAATGATGTCTCATAAAACTTGCATGCTTTCTGCAACAAAATGTATAGTAAGTCACAGACTACTGTGACCTACACATGAGTTTGTTCAGAAGCCCAAGTGATCTCATTTAACYGAGGTACCTGAATTAAAATCTAATGGGCCCAAGCTCTAATTATATACATACATATGCATTCACATTTGTGTATATAATATTTAGCACCACATACTCTACGTATATTATGTATCTGTGTGCATCTTGTACCTTCCAACTTTTTCTTCATAAGGAACAAATGTGGGTTACAAGAATTTATTAGGAGGTTAGTTTGTAAAATTTAACATCAGAGTTTGATTCCTAAACTTGTCATTGACTTTTACCATGCCTGAGTGTCACATCTCCTGCTTGAGAGTACCATTGCTTTCCAGCCTTACGGGAGCTGTTGCTTGGGGAAGGGCTTTGAAAGTTATGAAAGTTATGGGTACTATAAAGAAGTCTCTTAGAAAGATTTATAGGCTTGTGACTGCTAGGAATTCTGGACATCTGTTTTCAGAGACCTGTTTGCATGGAATATTCAGTTTATGGGTCACTAATGGTAGAGTCAATATGCTTAAATCCACACCAGGGCTGATGTATTTGCATTCATCTTCTGAACTTAATATATTTTTTCTAGAAATATAATACTCGGGTAGGAGACAAGGGAACCCAGCTCTCTGGTGGTCAGAAACAACGTATTGCTATTGCCCGAGCTCTTGTACGCCAGCCCCAAATTCTGCTACTTGATGAAGCTACGTCTGCCCTAGATACAGAAAGTGAAAAGGTAACTTGCTTGCGAGTCAGCAGTCTGGGATCTAAGACCGTGTTTGCTTATTTTATGACATTTAGGTACAAGTATTCAATACCTTATTTTATTCTGTATTAACAAACATGAGGGAAAAAAAAGAAAGCTGAGATTCYCATTAATATTTTCCTGCTCAAGGTGGCTTTAAGAAAGACATCATTCGTGAGACTTGCTATGAAATCCATAGAGCTTGTATGCTAGTAGGTGGATAAAAACAATTGACTTAAATCTGATATGTGATTAACTAATCCTAGAGGGGATATACAAAGCTTTCTAATCAAACGTTGCTAAAACGAGGGCTAACACTAGTTTTGGACCAGGTTGCTCAGAATTTTGTCCTGTCAAGTCCTTGAAAACCTCCAAGGAGATTCCATAAGCCTTGCTGGTTCCTGATCTAATTTCTGTTTAATTATCCTTTTCTTACTTTTTCCTTTCCCTACACACAGTCAGAATCTCCCCTGTTCCAACTTAGAACCACTTTCTACTGTTCTCCCACCATGCATCTCAGTAAAGAGTCTGGCTCCATCTCCTTCTCCTCTTAGCTCTCATAACATTATCTACTATAACAATAAATTTGCTTCTTGCCAACACAGGTTATATCTAAAACTGGAAACCAAATCCTGAGATATTCCCCTTCTCTCACAGACATATTACAATATACGTAGAGATGAAAGTTGAAGTATTTGGCACTACAAACTGCCAGAAATAATTCCAGGCCATTACACTTTTTACTCACCTTTTGCTTTGTTCTTTGGACAGGTTGTGCAGGAGGCCCTGGATAAAGCCCGCGAAGGCCGCACCTGCATCGTGATCGCTCACCGCCTCTCCACCATCCAGAACGCCGACAAGATCGCCGTGGTCCAGAACGGCAAGGTTGTAGAGCAAGGGACTCACCAACAACTCCTGACTGAGAAAGGCATCTACTATTCACTGGTCAATGTTCAGTCTGGGTCATGCAACATGTAAATTAAAGGCAGTGCTTACCTCTGAAGTGTCACTGTAATTATTTCAATGCTGCATAGTAGTTGTAGTCAGTTTTGATACTTCTGTTTTTCCTCCAAAACCAAAGGTCTTTTATAAATCCTGTGAAAGCAGGAATTACTAAGTAAATTCCTACCAGTGCCTCACTGCCAGCTCGTTGTTCAAATCACCTTATTTTGTAGCCAAAACAGGGGTCTATTGCATTCATAATACTAGAAACAYGCTAAGCAGAATTTTTCAGTAGCCTACCTTAAATGCTAACAAAAGCAGACTAGTATGGCATATCTAGTAAACAATATGTAACATACATATTGGGTATTGTCTATCATCTACAYGCCTTATACATGGGGCAGAGGCCAAGGGCTAAGACTCCCTGAAGAGTGAAGTATCTTATAAAAGGAGATCTTAAACTGAGGGCTGCAGGAACTGGACAGAAGGACTCCTTTTTCAGTTCCAGCTTCCCTCACTGAAGTGCTCTTGACCCTGATCGTCTTGAAGAACCTAAAAGACTGGGACTGATTAAGGACTGTAATCACCACTGCTAACTGCATGGCATCAGCTCTGTGGTTCTGTATATTTGTTGCTAATTTAAGATATAGTTGTTAAATACTAACTGCCTTGAATATGTAGTAATAGTGATTAATAATGATTAAGAACTAACCATTAACAATATGTACTGTTGATSACTATCAATCTAGTAAAGTCTTATTTTAAAGTTTAAAACTTGCCTGATTTATCAGTCTTCCACATTTCTGTTACAGCAATTTCTGATTCTTGGAATATATGCATTTTATGTATCTGTCCACATGCAGAGGAAAATAGATATATATTTTTATATCCAGATACATGCATGTGCACATGCACACAAGTCAGCTGCTGATAGTCATGCTGATCTCTGTCCTTGCAACACTCTSCTGAGTGCAGATCAACACATTGTCTTTGCATTGCCTTGAATCACTTACCTTTTTCCTTTAGTTCCTGACTTATATTGGAAAACCAATGCAGTATTGAACTTGTTTACTATCTGTATGTTATCTAACACATAGGGCAAAGTCTCTTAGTGTGAACCATAATACACGTGCAACTGTAATCTGGAAATAGATATTCCTATAACATTATTATATTGTAACATTAACAAGTGAGAAAATATTTATGTTGATTTTGTGGCTGACTACTGGATTTTAAATTTRAAGTTGTTTTTAAATTTTTATTTATAGAATTTATGATGATTGGATTGTTTCCCCAAAGTGAACTGGCTTCAAAAATGCTTGATTTACCAGACTACCTRGTATCAATCCCTGAAAATCAGACAAGCACTGTATTCCAGGCCCCATCTGGAATATTGTGTGTTGTTCCGGGTTCCCCAGGACAAGAGGAAGGTGGAACTTTTAGAGAGGATTCAGCGTAAAGCAATGAAGATGATTAAGAGACTGGGGCAGCTATTGTATGGGGAAAGACTAAGCAAGCTGGACCAATTTAGCCTGGAGAAGAGAAGATTAAGAGGGGATCTGATCAATATGTACCTTAGGGAGAATGTAAAGAGATTGGGGCCAAACTCTTCTTGGTGGTGGCCACTGACAGGACAASTGGTATTGGGTGTAAATCGAAACACAGGAAGTTTCATCTCCATGTGAGGAAGAACATCTTCACTGTKAGGGTGACAGAGCCCTGGCACAGGCTGCCCAGGGAGGCTGTGGAGTCTCCTTCTCTGGAGATCTTCCAAACCCGCCTGGATGCCGCCCTGTGCCCCGTGCTCTGGATGTCCCTGCTGGAGCAGGGAGTTGAGCTAGATGATCTCTAGAGGTCCCTTCCAACCTCAGCAGTTCTGTGATTCTGTAAATGTCTGAACACTGACACTGAAGAATCATTTTCCAACATTTTTGCCATATAGTTTAAGATATACCTCAGAAATTAATATCAAATACTAAAGTTTTTCAGAACACAGCTTATTTCTTCTCTATCCACCTCTTCCTCATTTATTTAAAAAGTATTTCCCTTGACATCAAGATTTACCTGAAACTGCATAAGACTTACTGATCATCTCACTTTTGTTTGAAAGGGACTGTAATGAAAGCAAGCACTTTTCCTTTAAGGAAAATGGTTCTTCTTCTTGAACACTTTCCAAACATGTGCCATTGATTGTTGGAAAGAGGAACTTTTTCAAGAAGCATTGAAGTTCAGCAGAATGATGAAACAACACATCATCAAAGGAGAGTTTTAGAAGAAAAAAAAACTTTTCTTGTTTCTGGAAGGTTTTCTTACTGCAGATTCTTATCAGGATACTGAATATTACAGTCTAACTTCCAGGTATTCTACAGCATACTTAACTCTGTAAGGGCAATTTGTCATTACTTACACAACACAAACTTTATGGCTAAGCCCTGCTATCATTTCCTGCAAAAGAGTAGGTGGATAACTAATCTCCAGGGTTCTCCCTCTCATTAAAGATTTTGAAGGATTTTCTCTTGTCGGTAGCAAAAACTGTGTACAATCTCAGCTTCAAAATTAGACTAATCCAAATAATTTTTAGATCATCTCTTTAGATCGTCTCTTATTTAGATACGCCCTCAAAGTTCTTCCCTAACTATCCCACATGCCAAGAGCTATTCAACAGCCTCTGATGTTGACCCCAGTCATCCTAGCATTACACGAATTAACTCTCCTTCCTTACAACCAAACCTTGAAGCCATCATCACCTTCTTGCTGCTATCTCTGCCTACCAAAACTGCCTTCCTAGAAGAATCTCTGCCTGGAAGAAATTGTGCTACTGAAGACTTCCAAACATTTTCCAGTGGATATTTCTTGTAACCTATTCACAATATGAATAGACATGGAGACAAGCATCCATAAAGATACATTTTCCATCCGTATCTGTTTTTCCTCAAGATATATTGCTATGTGTATATTTATGACTTCCTTTTAATTGTCTCCTTCAAAATCCAGTCTACCTTGCAGGCTTGGCCATTGAAAGGAAAGAGGAAGACAGCTTGCAGGATTGGAGAAACAAGGTACAACTACTTAGGAGTACAGCAAGGGGCTAGAATAATCCAAGTTGTAATTCCTGTACAGGAATTTACAAATGGATTTGTCAGGGTTATGTACAGCAGTGTACATCAAAAAGAAAAGAAAAGAAAAGAAAAGAAAAGAAAAGAAAAGAAAAGAAAAG